CGCCCAGGTGGGTCTCGAACCTGCGGGCTCAGGCAATCCACTCACCTCAGCCTCCCAAAGGCGCGGGATTACAGGCTGAGCCACCGAGCCCGGCTTAGAGACAAAGTCTTGCTCTGTCACCAGGCTGGGGCGCAGTAGCACAGTCATAGCTTACTGCAGCCTCTAACTTCTGGGCTCCAGTGATCCTCCTGCCCAACCTTCTGAGTAGCTGGGGCTATTGGTGTGCACCACCACACCTGGCTAATTTTTTACATTTTTTTGTAGAGCAAGGGTCTCACTATGTTGCCCAGGCAGGGTCTCTAACTTCAGGCCTCAAGCAACCCTCCTTGGCTTCCCAAAGCACTGGGATTACAGGTATGAGCCACTGTGCCCAGCTGCATTGTTTTTTAATCTTTGCTACAACCCATCATGGTTGGTATTCTTTTTTTTTTTGAGTCAGAGTCTCACTGTCGCCCAGGCTGGAGTGTAGTTGCACACTCACAGCCACCCCAGCGTTGACTTGCTGGGCTCAGACAGTCCTTCTGCCTCAGCTTTCCAAGTAGCTGGAACTACAGGCACATGCCACTATGCCCGGCTAATTTTTTTATATATTGTAGAGACGAGGTCCCACCAAGTTGCCCCTAGTCTCGAACACCTGGCTCAGGCAATCCTCTCGCCTCAGCCTCCCAAAGTGCTGGGATTATAGGCTTGAGCCACTGCACCCTCCCATCTCTCAGATGAGCAGACTGAGGTTTCTAAAAGTGAAGATAGTCTTGCCCAAGGTCACTCAGATGGAAGAGGTGGTGCTGGGACTTGTACTCAGGCTCCACTTTTAATCCCTTCACTCTGCGGCCTCCCAGGCTTGATTCTGATCTTTTCAAGAGCAAAGCTCTCCAGCAGAGGGCTGCCTGCCCCTTGCCCCACATCTCACATTCCTCCCCTCTGCTGGGTCAGAGCTCCTCTGTGTGCCTCAGGCAGCTCCCTCCTTGGACAGCATGAAGGGGGAAGGAAGAGGAGGGGAGTAAGGCAGGGAGGAGTTGATGTTGCACCTCTGCCTTGAGATGCCCAGGGAAGTAGAGAGGAAACCAGGAGCCCAGCCTCAGCTAAGCCACTTCCCATCCTCCCAGAAGCCCTAAGACAGCTCTGCCTGCCTCCTCAGAGCAGTCTGGTCAACTCTGTGCTGGTCCAGCAACCGTCTTTCATAGGTGCAGAAGGCAAGACCCAGAGAGGGAAAGCAACTTTTCCACAGAAAGTTGGAAGTAGGTCTGGTTCTGGAACTCAGGCCTCTTGCCTGTCCAGTGAGTGCAGCAGTTGGATCCTTGTTCCCCAGGGTCATTTTCAAATCAATATTTCTCATATCTGAGTCTAGGATGATCCCTCATCCAGAGGCTGCAGGGTGTCTGACCAGCCCTGTAGCTGCCATAGGCCTGACTTCCAGGATGGCCCCTAGAACAGGCCAGACTGTAGGATCCAGGATGACCTAGAGAACTGGGACTGAACCCTTTCCACAGGAGAGAGGATACTGTCGCATCATAGGTTGCCTGCCTAGTCTGTCCCTTCCCCATCCCTTGGCCACCTCACCTTCTGCAAAGTGTGACGGGGCAGCTGGCTGCATTGGCCGAAGACAGGCCCATGGTCCTTGGTTGTGAGCTGCTCCAGCTGGGCCCGGAGCTCCTGTTCCTCTTCGGGGACCATGCGAAACGTGCCCACCTGGGTAGAGAGGAATTAGGAAGTAGGAATAGCCCCCAGCCGCCACCAGCCTGAGCCAGCCAGGGAAATGGGCCTGCTCAGGCCATTAACTAGTGCTTTTGCCCAAGATCATTGTTAAGCCTCCCCCTTCTGGGGCGCTAGGACCCACAGAGAGGTTATGGGGTTTGTGCCTATAATCCTTGGCAGTGCAGATGATAGAGAAGCTGAGAGGGAGGGAAAGAGGGAAGGTGGATGAAAGAGAGCCCTGGAGTACAGGATACTCACCCCCTCTGACATGTTGGCTCTGGAAGGTGCTGAGTCCTTGGAAAAAGAAGAGCTGTGCTTCTTCTGTCCTGGCTTCTCCCGATGACCCCTTCCCTAGGAAAAGAAGTCAGGGCTGCAGTGGTTAGAGAAGCCATTCTGTTATTGTTCCAGAACAGTGGATCTCAGACTTTCAGTTGCATCAGAATCACCTGGTATTTGTTAGAAATACAGGTGCCTGGACCCCACCCCCTGTGATTCTCACTCTGGAGGTTTGGGCTCGGGTCCAGGGATCTGCTATATACGGCACCCCCAGGTGCCCCTGAAGATGGTTCTTTGAGACCGTGCTTTGAGAAGGGACATGAACACAAATACTTCACTCCTCAAGACAAGTTGGTCCAGCTGGGAAAAATCTGTAGCCAGCTTCTATTTTCTGTTACATGTTCACTGCAGGATGAGATAATCCCTCTTCCCTTCTGGCCATCCTTCCCCCAGCCCAGAGGAGTATCTCAGAAACTTCCCAGCCCAGTGGATGGTCATTTCCCCAGAGCATTCCTTCCCAGAAGGGCGATGACCTGTTACATAATCATAATACTACATGTGTGTTCTGTGTTTTGTGATTCACTGTTTTCAAATTTCTTATCTCTGAACCAAGGTTAGCCTCATTATTCCCATTTCACATAAAAGAAAACAGGGTGTGGGTGACTTATCCAAGGTAGCACAGTCCCCAAAATAGGCAGGGATCAGGACTCGGACCCAAGTTGCCACTTCCTGTCAGCACCAAGAGGCCACCTGCTGCAGTGCAGATAGATGTCCAACCTGGGTTCGAATTCTGTCTCTTCTGCTTGCAGGCTGAGATTTAACCCGAGTCTTGGTTCCCTGTAAAATGGGATGGAAGGGTTATGATGTATAATTAAATAATGTACATAGAAGTGGTGTTTTGGCCATCAGAACAAGTGTCATCCATGGCCTGCATGACAACCCACTTCCCCATTGGGTATTTTTGGAGACAGCTCTTCTGTTTCCAGGTTTTCTCCTCTCCTACCTAAACATCCCAGGACCTGCCACCATCCTGCTCCTGCCTCTGACCAGTTTCCACTGGTCAGTTCGGTAACGTAGTCACAGTTAGTAAGAGGCAGAGCTAGGACTTGAACCTATGTCTGCCTGAGACCAAGTCTGTTTTGACATCTACAACTGAGACATCTGCAGGCAAATTCTCTAGGAGAGCTGGTGTCATAGAAACCTAAAGGTCAGAGACACCTGGGCTTGAGTTAGCCTTTGTCCTTTACCATCTGTGTGGCCCCAGCAAGTTACTTAACATTTCTGGGCCTCAATTTCCTCATCCACAAATTGAAAATCACAGTACCTGCCAAAAAGATTGTCAGGAAGACTATATAATTTCTGCAATATGCTTGGCATGCTGTCTTGCCCTAGAATGTAGTTCCCCTTCCCTGTCTTAGCAACATACTGATCATTACTCTGACTTGCACAGAGGAACTTGGAGGAGCCCAGAGAACATCTGAGGGTCTTCCACCTCCTGCCCCTTCCACTTCACAGCCCCAGCAAGGACAGGGAAGGTCTGGGAGCTGTAATCTACCCATAAGAACTGAATCTAAGCCATCTCTCTCACTGGTAGACATCCAGATATGTGGGCATAGAGGCACAGACTGAGATGCTCCTGAGCTTTCACTGGGTTTTGCTAGAACAGGAATGGAGAGGTTGATAGAACAGCTCCAAGGAGCTCAGACAAGACATGGTAATTAGACCCCCCCCAGCCAATTAAGTAGACCATCAGAACAAGACCCTAGATCTTAGAAATACGGGGTTAGATTCTGTGCAGCCACTTTTTTCTAAACATGCCCAAGCTGCTAATTTTCATTTTTTAAAAATACTGATTTATAAGTCATATACAATGAAAAAGTGCCTAGCCCTCACACCATGTCAATGCTATTCTCTGCCATCTTGGGTTGTCAGTTAAAATACAGGGCTCCCAGTTGAAGATGAATTTCAGAAGAATAAAAAATACTTTCTTAGTATAAGAATATCTCATGCAATATTTGGGACACTCTTATACTAAAAAAGCATTTGTTCATCTGAAATTGACATTTAACTGGTGTCCTATATTTTTATTTGCTAAATTTACCATCAGATTGGTCTGGCTCCTCCTGGAGAATGGCTGGTTGGTTTCAGTTTTGAAGGCAGCCTAGGACGTGGTCTCTCTACCCCTCTGACTCCTTACCCCAGTCTTGGACTCCCTGGCCCAGGAAGGCTGCTGGAATTGACTTACCTGCCAGGTCAGCAGCTCCTCCTTGAGGCCACCTGGTACCTGAACGTCCTGGAGTTCTAGAGGTTGCCTCTGCTGGAGGCGTGGCCCAGTCAGCAGGTTGGGATTAGTGTGTCACAAGGAACTTCTCACCGCCCACAGTTTCCGTTAAATCGGGCTCACAGGAGGCCCAGAGTGGGGCAGGGGAAGCAGGGGGAGGAGGTGGAGAAGGGGAGAGGGGAGAGGGGAGAGGCCTGGGCCTGGCTGGAGATGCATCAAAGCCCTCCTTTGTGTACTCCTGCTCTGGAGTTCCTGCTCAGCCATGTGGAAGCTGGGCTCTGGCTGGGATCTAGGCCAGTCCCATTCCCTCTTTCCTGCCCTCTTTTCCTCAAGATCCCAGCGGGGTTTGAGAGAGTACTTCCCAGGGTAACAAGAGGTGAAGGGAAATTGTAAGTGTGACTCCAGGTGCAATGGCAGTTCTGGTGAATCCAGCCCTGCTGCCCATTCTCTCCCCCAGCCTGCAGGGCCTGGCATCGTAGTTTCACCTCCACAGTGAATGGGGCCAGTTGGGATATGTACCTGATTAAGGCCAGACAGAGAGAGGACAAACCAGGTCGAACTGCCTTTTAGGGAGTGTGGGGCAGTAGTAGGAGCATGCTCCAAACCAGATTGCCCACTTTAAAATCCTAGCTCCGGCACCTTCTATCTGTGAGAAATAACTTCATCACTCAGTGACTTAGTTTCCTTCTCTGAGAAGTGGGAATAATAGTGAACCAGGCTCATGACTTTAACGAGGATGAAATGGCGGTGAGTGCTTAGTGCGGGTGGTTAGCTGCCTGACACTTCTCAAGTGCTCTATAAATGCCAGTTACTCCAAATACAGATTCAATAGGCACCTCGCTGAAGGGAACTCATATTATCCAACCCTCTGTACAGGAAGAAACCCCTCGGCAGCCCCTCAACCAGTAGCTTCCCGGTCTCTGCTTTGGTATTCCATGGGAGTGAAGAGCCGGTGATTCTTTTAGAGCATTCTGTATCTGGGATTCCAAGGGCAGGACGCTCCCTGTTTCCAATAACTGGACAGCTCTTCTTGTTTAAAGACGCATCCTTGATCTGACATGGGACAGGGTCCAGCTCTTGTACACAGGTCATTGTCAAGAATCCAGCCCCACAAGTGCTTTTTAATTTTCCCAAACATACTCCTTGCTTTTCCACCCATTCCTACTTTGGCAGGTTTGGGGTCTCTTCACATCATCTTATCCCCTTCCAGCCCCTGTGTACCCTGGTTTTTAGATCTTGGGGTACCCTTGGGTCACCTTGAGCTCTTTGCTTCCAGTAGCCCTTTACCTGGGCTCCTGCTCTGGCTGCTATCTGGCTCTTGGGTTGTTTTCATCCCAAGTCCTCTCTGGAGCTAGGGAATCCCTCATTTCTATCATTCTTCGCCCTGGAATTTTAGTCCTATGCTGTCCTGTATAGTAGCCACTAGACTCATATAGCTTTCCAGTATTGAAATGGGGTCCTGTAACCTGATAACTAAATTTTTAATATTATCTAATTTTTTTATTTTTAGAGTCAGGATCTCACTGTTGCCCAGGCTGGAGTGCAGTGTCATGATCACGTTGATCATGGCTCACGGCAGCCTTGACCTCCTGGGCTCAGGTGATTCTTCCACCTTAGCATCCTGAGTAGCTGGCACTACAGGCGTGTGCCACCATGCCCGACTAATTTTTTTATGTTTTTGTAGAGACAAGGTTTCGTTATGTTGCCCAGGCTGATCTCGAACTCCTGGGCTCAAGTAATCTGCCCACCTCAGCCTCCCAAAATGCTGGGGTTACAAGTGTGAGCTACCGTATCTGGAAATTTTATCTAATTTTAATACACTTAAATTTAAAAACTGATACTGGATTCAGCTTTTGGAAAACTTTTAAGTTGATTTAGAACAACTTTGGTATCTGATTCTATTTTTTTCCAACTATAAAGTTTGTGAAGTATTTCTGTTATGGATTTAAAGCCTAAAGTGAGATGTGCTATAAATACAAAATACTTACTGGATTTTGAAGACTTAGTACAAATAAACTAATGTAAAATATCTCTTTAATGATTTTTATATGGCTTAATGTTCTGAAATGATCATGTTTGAGATATATTGAGTTAAAAATATATTAGTGTTAATTTCACCTGTTTCTTGTTACCTTTTCTGATATGGTATTAGAAAATGTCAAATGACATGTGCTCACATGATATTTCTCATGGACAGTGCTAGTCTAAACCTTGTTACTATTTAAAGTTGACCCATACACCAGCAGTATCAGCATTATCTGCAGGTATGTAAAAATGTCAAACCTAAGCCAGGTGCGGTGGCTCACACCTGTAATCCCAGCATTTTGGGAGGTGGAGGTGAGAGGATTGCCAGAGTCCAGGAGTTCAAGACCAGCCTGGGCAACTTGGCAAAACCTCATGTCTACAATAAATGAAAAATTAGCTGGGCCTGTGACATGTACCTGTGGTTCCAGCTACTTGTAAGCTGAGGCAGAAGGATCACCTGAGACCAGCAGGTTGAGGCTGCAGTGGCTGTGAGCATGTGAGCACTCCAGGACAGAGTGAGACTTCTTAAAAAAAAAGCCAAGTCTTAGGCTCTTCCCCAGACAGGCTACATCAGAAACTGGATTGGATTAAGGCCCTCCCTAATGACCTGTTTTAATTTAATTACTTAATTGTAGCCAGGAGTAGAGGGACAGCCTTGGAGACCCTGCTACTGTACTGAGGAGGCTAAGGCAAGAGGATCTCTTGAGCCCAGGAGTTCGAGGCTGTAGTGTCCTATAACACACTGTGAATAGGCACTGGATTCCAGCCTGAGCAGCATAACATGACCCCATCTCGAAAAAATAAATAAATATAAATAAATAAATACAGTTACTGAATTTCAGCAAGGTTCCCGGGTTTTTCCTGTGCACATAAAAGTTTGGAAAGCACTGCCTTAGGGAGTTTCTGCCCCTCTCCTGTTCTTGGCTATGTCCAGCACAGTGGCTTGCCTGACCTCTCACTTCTACCAGCTTGGAGGATTGATGAGGAATCAGAGCTAGGATTGCCCTTGCCCACCATTGTCTTCCTCTTTGGCCAGGTTGTGGGAAGAGGCAGAGAGGGAGGGTTTCCTGCCCTGATTCCAGGTCTGGCCCTGCCCACTACAAGATTTTGACTCTCTTAGTATTCAGTTGTTTCACTTATAAGATGATGCCATGGGCCAAACTGTGTCTGTCCAGCCCCCCTACCTCCCCATTTATATGTGGAAGACTTAACTCCCAGGGTCTCAGAATTGACTGTATCTGGAGATTGTGTCTTTAGAGACATAATTGCATTAAAATGAGGTCATTAGGGTGACCCTAATCCAATATGGCTGATATTTTTATAAGAAGAGGAAATTTGACTGGGCAGCTCACACCTGTAATCCTAGCACTTTGGGAGGCGGAGGCGAGAGGATTGCCTGAGTCCAGGTGTTCAAGACCAGCCTGGACAACTTGGCAAGACCTCATCTCTACAATAAATAAAAAAATTAGCAGGGCATGATGACTCACATCTGTAATCCCAGCACTTTGGGAGGCAGAGGCGAGAGGATTGCCTGAACCCAGGTGTTCAAGACCAGCCTGAATAACTTGGAGAGACCTCGTTTCCATGACAAATCAAAAAATTAGCCAGGCGTGGTGGCATGCGCCTCTGGTTCCAACTACTTGAAAGGCTGAAGCAGAAGGATCACCTGAGTTCAGTAGGTTGAGGCTGAGGTGACCATGAACATGCTATTGCACTCCAGCCTGGGCAACAGTAAGACTCTGACTCAAAAAAAAAAAAAAAAAAAGAAAATTAGCTGGGTGTGGTGGCATGCACCTGTAATTCCAGCTACTTGGAAGGCTGAGGCAGAAGAATTGCCTAAGCCCAGCAGGTCAAGGCTGTGGTGGCTGTGAGTGTGCCACTGCACTCCAGCCTGGGCGATAGAGTGAGACTCCAACTCAGAAAAAAAGAAAAAAAAAAAAAGAAGATCAAGAAGATGACTACCTATAAGCCAAGGAGAGAGATTTCAGAGGAAACTGGCTTTGCTGACACACCTTCTTCGCAGACTTCCAGCTTCCAGAAATGTGAGAAAATGAATTTCTGTTGTTCAAACTACCCAGTCTGTGGTACTTTGTTAGCAAACAAATACAGATGGAATGATGTTTTTTTTCAGAGTGTGAGGTTTATAGGACATAATGGGAATGAGTGCCCAGGCTGCCCCATGAGAAGGAACCACGGAGGCCCCCGAAGAGGCTCCATCAGTGCTGGGCGATGGACTCTGCCACAGAGGTACATTCTTGTGCACCAAGAACACTTTGGAGTTAATGACCCAGCCCTGACAGGAGTAAGCTGCACAGAGCTTTTCAGGATGCTGGCAGGCCACAATACCCTTTTTGGGAGCAGAGCTTTCCACAGCATTATCTTCTGCTCACAGTCCTTCTACTGCCTCTAATCTTCCCTTCCCCCTTCCCAAGAGTCATGCTCACATCCAGCTTCCCTGGCTGGAACAATAGTGCCACTGTGAGAGAGAAGACGCTGCCCTCATTGGTCCAGACACCTGGGCTGGCCACATTGGCAGACAACTGTGGGCTCCCTGGCCTGCTGCTCTCTGTCCAGCTGAAGGCAGAGTGGGAGGGGACTCGCATTTGCTGTGCCCCCATTCTGTACTATGGCAGGTGGCCTACCAGCTTTATCTCATCCAACCCTTCCAAGTATGAGATAAAGGGTATAATTCCTTTTTCACAAAATAGAGTACTGAGTGTCATAGAGGTGAGGGACCTACCCAAAGCCACTCAGCTGCTTAGGAGTAGAGGACAAATCACTCAACACACAAGGCAGCCCCTCCTCCAGAAGAAAGACACACAGTCACATCTTCCTCCTGGCTCCTGGGAAAGGTGATATCATCTCACCCTCCCTGGGAACAGCCCCACGGGCAAGAATTTAGTCATTGCAATCCCTTCTTTAGCCATTAATGATTCTCCTGGACTATGGAGGACCTTATGTATGCCCTAGGCCTCAACTCCTCTTTTGAGGAGTGGGAAAACCCAGGTCCAGGGACATTCTGCACTTTTTAAAAAAATTGTACAGTGGCAATGAGAACAAGTAAGTGAAGTCTCTGACCCCCAGGACTGGCAGCTTCTGTGCTAAAAATCTCCAATCCCTCCAGGAGGCACGCTTTCCACAAAGAAGGGCCTGCCCTGCAGCCCTGGAAAATGGGAGGTGCCAGGG